GAGGAGTGAAGGTTGGAGCCAGGCAGGGCCTTTGGAAACGCCCACCGCCGAGGAAGAAACAGCTCCTGCCAAGGAAGAATCGGCTTTAGAGGAAGAAGAATCCGGGAGAGGAGCTGAAGGAACAGTCGCCCTAGGAGCAGGGGGTGGGAGCCGGAGGTCGGATAGGTGGAGGTTCATTAGCCGGATCTAGTCAGAGATTCTGGAGTCAGAGAATCCTCCGGTTTAGGCATAGCTAGGAGCATATGAGCAGGAAAGAAGGAACCCAGAAGAGACGGTTTAGCACTGAGAAAGGAGAAAGCTATGACATAGGGCAACTCTTTCCATTTGCCTGTTCGCTGGCAGAAATTAAATAACTCCTGTAAAATATCCGGATCTAAGGAGCCGCTCGCGGCCATTTTTTGTTATTTGTTATGTTTTTTGTTATATGCTTTTGTTATATTAAAGCATATTTGGGCCATATCTTAGCACAGAGATGGATAAACTTAGGAATCTTTAAGTAAGGCATTAAGCTGAGAGGTTTTAAAGCCTCAAGAAGACAGCCTAAGGGAGAGGTAGGACTGATAGGGTTGAAAGCCTTATTTCCCATATCTGCAGCGGAGGCAGAAAAATAAAAAAAAAATAAATTAAAAAAAAATGTGGAGTAGCCACATGGGCCTATGTGTGCAGACGCGGCCCAGCCTTTATAAGCCGGCGCCATATTCCCGGCTCCATCTCTTTATTCATGTGTCTTTTCCGCAGGCCTGAGCACATCTGTCTCTCTCTCTCTCCTGTCTTAATAAAACTCTTGTTAGTGGATTCTGTCGTCTTTTGTGACATTTCCTCACAGGGTAAGAGCACCGCTAAATAACTAACAGTGGTGCATGCCTTTAATCCCAGGGATCCGGAGGAAGAGGCAGGTAGATCTCTGTGAGTTCGAGACCAGCCTGGGCTACAGAGAGAATTCCAGGACAGCCAGGGCTACACAGAGAAACCCTGTCTCAAAAAAAAAAATGCTATTATAACATGTATTCATTACCTTTCTGTTGCTATGATAAAACATCATGACCATGGGGCTGGAGAGATGGCTTAGTAGTTAAAAGCACTGCCTGCTCTTCCAGAGGTGCTAAGTTCAACTCCCAGCAACCACATGGTGCTTCACAACCATCTCTAGTGGGATCTGATGACCTCTTCTGGCATGAAGTTGTACATGCAGCTAAAGCACTCATATACATAAATAAATAAATAAAATCTTTAAAAAAAAACAAAAACAAAACACCATGACCAAGCAACTTCTGGAAGAAAGATTTTGCTCAGGTTTATGTTCCAGGGGATAAGCGTCCATCCTGGCAGGGCATGGCAGCAGGAGCAAGCAGCTGGGTGGGAGCTCACACCTTTAAACTCAAACATGAAGCAGAGAGCAGGAACCAGTGGGGTGAGGCCTTACTTCGCCGAGCCTGCCTCCCAGAGACATACTTCTCCAGCAAGACTGAACCTCCTAAGCTTCCCCAAACAGTACCAACGACTAGGGGCCAAATTTCAAATCCTGAGTCTATGGGGGACATTTCTCGTTCAAACCACCATGCAACCTGAGGTCAACTGTGTTTACAATTGTTTTCATATGTTTTTACAGGTTACTTTCGCTTTCTTCCTGATATCTTATAAAAATCATTTACATTGTATATTATATTGTGATTCTAAAAACAGATTTTACCTTTTAAGCATCATTTATATTAGCTATAATAAAATAAGCAGCAGACTTTGTCAATTCTATCTTTTTAATTAGGCAGTTCAGCTGTGTTAAGGACATTTACAGTCCTGAGTGTTTATTCTTCAGGATTCTTTCCATTTTGCATTATTGAAATTTTATTCCAAATAAACAAGGCCACATTCAGGAACCCTAGTGGAGGGCGGGGTCAGCTAGTCTAGGTGGGAGGTCTCTGCAGCCCTAGAAGGTCAACATCCTGGGGGAGGAAGCCACAGCTGCTAGTCTCTGCACACACTGATAATAAACACTGAGAATCCCAAGGTTTCACACACACACACACACACACACACACACACACACACACACACACACACACACACCTGTTAGTGTGGCCCATATGGGTAACAGTTTGGCCAGTGTCCATGGGTCAATTGGCCTTGGAGCCTCCCCAGGCAGTGCACATGTCAGGGTTTCCTACGATCCCTACAAGTAACAATCCTTTATTTCCCTCTCCTCAGTCCTTGGCAGGAAACCATGCTGTTTCCTATCATGAATTTGACTACTGTAAGAACCTCACATAATGGGGATGATGTAGTAACTGTCTTTTTGTGACTGGTTTATTTTCCTTACCACGATGCCCTCGGGGTCATTCATTTTGAAGCACATTAGAATTTCCTCTTCAAGGCTGAATAATATTACATTGTATGTGTGTACCAACCACACTTTCACCTTTTGCTTAATCTGTTCATCCATTAGTAGACATTGTGTACGATGTGTGTGTGTATGTGCATATGTGTGTGTCTGAGTGTGCATGTGTGTGTGTCTGTGTGTGTGCATGTGTGTGTGCATGTGTATGTCTGTGTGTGTACATGTGCGTGAGTGTACCAATGCCATAGCACTCATGTAGAGGTCAAAGCGTAATCCCAGGTGTGGACTATGTCTTCTATTTAGTTTGAGCCAAAGCCTCTTATTGTTTGATACTGTGTACTCCAGACTAGCTGGCCCAGAACCTCCTGGGGATCCTCCTGCCTCCACCGCTCACCTCACTGCAGGAGCACTGCAGTGATTTCAGACTCACGCTACTGCATCCAGCATTACATGGTTTATTGGGATCCGAACCTAGGTTCTCAGCCTGTGTGGCAAAGGCTTTACCCACAGAGCCTTCTCTGAAGCCCAATCAAGACAGTGAAATTATTGTTATTATTAGTAGTAGTGATGCTAAGAACACCATTATATGAACATCCCTTTGAGAGTGTGCCTTCAGACATTTTGTGATCAAACTTGTAAGTTAATGGTTGGATCATGCAATCCTTCTATTTGTTTTGAAGACCACTGTAGTGTTTTCATGGTGGCTTCATGATGTGCCACTGTTTTGTCTTCTCATTGTCTTGAACATGCTCCACTGCACTGATTTCTCGATGTCCTCTCCAACCTTCAGTGTCTTTATATGGCCATTTGAAGCACAGGAAGTGGTTCTCTATTATCTATTTGCTGATGTGTTGCTATAAATTTCAATAATCATAATGAACAGTAAAAAATGCTTTCATTTGGTGTGTGTGTGTGTGTGTGTGTGTGTGTGTGTGTGTGTGTGTGTGTGTATACGAGCATGCCTATGTGCATGTGGGTGCCATGCAGAGATCAACTTCCTGTGTCTCTCTCAATCACTCTCACCTTAGTTTTAAAGATACTCCACCTGTGTCCGACTCTCCCCCACAACACTTTGGTCACAAATTCGTCCACTAAGCCTAGCTTTTAAATGGGTGCTGGGGAGCCAAACTCAGGACCTCATGCTTGTATGGCAGAAACTTTATTGACTAACTTTCTCCTCAACTCCCCCCAAAAGTTCTTATGTTCTAAAAATGGAGTAAGAGCACAACTCTTCCTAATACCCAGCATTGTTTTCTACTATAGAACATGATGTAATTATTTTGGATGCAATCGTAATTTTGCTCAAAATATTCCTTGCAAAGTCTCTTGCCCACTCAATACAAATTAAAAGACAACACTCATGTGTTCACTTGTTCACCAAACTAGGTCTCCTATACAACTGTGTCAGGATCCCAGCTTTGCTCAGGACACCCAAGGTGCACAGTGTTGGCCCATGAGTCCCACTGGTCTCACCCCCGAAGAGGGTTCAGCAGGAGCCTTATGGGGACTAGAGTAGACTACATGGTCACCTGTGCACAGTGACTCCAGCGACTTTCTTGAAGGTGGGGAAAGAAAGGGGAGGCTTGCTTAACCTAAAAGACTCCAAAAAGGCTCCAAAGAAACTAGGAAGTGGTGGGGCAGGCCTTTAATCCTAGCACTCAAGAGGCAGAGGCAGATGGATCTCTGTGAGTTTGTAGGCCAGAGTTCCAGGACAGCCAAGGATACACAGAGAAACCTTGTCTTGAAAAACCCAAAAACAAAATGAACAAAAAGGCTCCAAAGAGCAGGAAACTTTGACTTTTGAGGAGGCTTGAGTACCCAAGAAGAGGAAGGCAGCCATCTCATACACATGGGTTGCTCCATTGGAACTTTGCCCTCACACTCAAAGGCATGTCTTGGTGATGATGCCCCATAAGGTAGAGCTGTCTGATTAGATGACCAGAGACAAAAACACATCCGGTGTAATCAGGATTCAATGTGAAGCCCAGGAGCAGCCTTCTCGGCAGGATCCTGAGGTGTTAGCCCACAGAGTCGCCGGTGACACCACTTTGACCCTGCCCATACCTTGCCCACACAGGACTTCGGATTTCCCTGAGAGTTTCTGGCCCACACTTCATGAGGCCGGCTTGTAAAGCACATTTGGTTTTAGTATCTACCAACCCAGAAAATACACGAGAAACCCAGACATTTGGATCTAACTGGTTGGAGTTAGTCCCAGCAATGATAATTGCATTTCAAGGCTTCTTGGTGAGATTAACATTCTGCCTGGGCTGAAAAAAATGATTGCTGTGTGTTCTGAAAACATTTTTCAAAAGGGAAATGCAAAATTTTGTGAAGTAGAGGCTTCCAAAGTGATCCTCACACTTTCACCTGGAAAGGGAAAATGAACTTCCTTCTCTTTCTGCTTTGTGGCGCTGGAGATCAAACATGAGACTCTATGTGCCAGGCAAGCCTATTACTGCTGAGCTATAACCCCAGCTAGAAAGGAAGTTGATTGTTTGATAAACACATTTAGGATAGAGTAATTGGCTTCACAGGTTAAGAGGAGCAGGGTGTGAACTAAGTCAAGACTTGTGGATAAGCTTCTACCAAATGTGTTTATTCTATTTTAGGAAATACTCTTAGAGACAGATTGTATGACATCTGTGAGGTGGAAATGATTACTTACATGAGAGTGATACATAGACTCAGTATACACTGATCAGAAAGAGAGCATCTTCTTATGGACCACTTTGCGTAGTGCCCCTTTCAGGTCCCTGTTCCTCAGGCTGTAGATGAAAGGGTTCAGCATGGGGGTCACCACTGTGTACAGCACGGTGGCTGCCGTGTCCTTCTCAGATGAATGTGCAGATAAGGGGTTGAAATACACGGCGATGATGGTGCCATAGAAGAGGCCGACCACAGCCAGGTGGGAGCTGCAGGTGGAGAAGGCTTTCCATCTTCCCCTCGCGGATGAGACTCTCAGGACAGCAGAGGTGATGCGGGTGTAGGAGACCAGGATGCAGACAAATGGGGTGACCATGATCACAGCTCCCTCTGTGAGAATCATCAGCTCATTGAGGTGTGTGTCTGAGCAGGAGAGTTTCAGGAGGGGAGTGATGTCACAGAAGAAGTGGGGGATGATGTTGTCTGCACAGAATGAGAGTCTAGCCATGAGCAGGGTGTGCAACAGAACATTCAGACTGGAAACAACCCACGACCCAACCACCATGAGGACACAGAGCTGATGGGTCATCTTTGTTGTGTAGTGTAAGGGGTGGCATATGGCCACATACCGGTCATAGGCCATCACAGCCAGCAGGAAATTGTCCATGTCTGTAAGTTCAAAGAGAAAATACATCTGCATGAGACACCCAGAGAAGGAAATGGCCTGACTCCCGAGTATGTGGTTGGCCAGCACCTTGGGGACAGTGGTGGAGGAGAAGCAGACATCCACGAAGGACAGGTTACTGAGGAAGAAGTACATGGGGGTGTGCAGGCGGGAGTCTGTGCCGATGGCCAGGATGATGAGCAGGTTTCCCAGGACAGTGGCCAGGTACATTATGAGGAAGAGCAGGAAGAGGAGCTGCTGCTGCTGCTGGGGCTGCCTGGAGAGTCCCAGGAGGAGGAACTCGGAGACGCTGGACTGGTTGCTGCCTCTCATGGGTCTGAGCCCAAGTGAATAGGAGACAGTAAATTGAAAACCTAAATGGGCATGGTGTGATAGAGCACCAGGCAGGATCACATTTGCAAATCAGTTCATAGAATTGATAACCCAGGATGCACCCAGCCTGTCTACACATCTGCTCTCCAACACTCAGCCCTGATGTATTTTCTACCTGAGCATCCCTGAGGCCACACAGCCTCTAAGAATAGCTATGTCTGTTTTTACATCTCTCAGCTCTCCTCCAACTCCTCCTCAGCTCAGAACGTCAGAGAAACGGTCTGTTGGTGTTGTGTTTGTCACAAGCGATAACAATGGATTCAGGCTTCCACACTGGCTTCTGCCCCTGGAAGGAGGCAATAACTTCAACCCTGATAGGAAAATACGTGTGCCTCCACTGTTATAACCTTACCTGGGAAGGGAGGTTGATGCTATCCAACGCTGTTCACCTTGGCCTAATTTCGGGGTTTGTGATGTCTTGGAAACATTGGCGAGTCCTAAGCTAGTGAGGAGCAGATGTATAGGGTCTTGGTCTTCTGAGTGGGAAAGATGTTCAGAACAATCACAGAACAGTCATTTATGGCAGTCTCTTTGGCTACTGGGACCAGTATCCCTCAGAGCTTCATTAGAGACAAAAAGAGAAACTCCCATCTACGTTTTTGGCCCCTTTGGACCAAACAACAATGAAAAAGAATACCAGCAACGGTTACATGCAATGGTTAGAACAAAATGTATAGGCTTCAGAAATGAGTCCCACGTTGGTAGACACAGATCCCCAGTGGCATTATTTACGACATCAGCTCTCATTGCTTTTGTGATCTGAGCCTGTGCCTACTGGTGTGGAGATGAAATTTTTATATTCTTGTACCTTCAATGTAGTCTTTGCTTTCTCGTGTCTGCTCACATCCAGCAGTGATCGGTGATGTCACATCATCTTCACTTTGAGGCAGGAAACTAAGGGTATACACTGAGCTGGACTTTGGATAAAGTAAAGCCTGAAGCCAAGAGGCAAAGTCTATAAGGAACTTGGCCTTTATAGTAGATGCCTTTTGAGGTACCTTTCCAACTGACACGGTTTACTGCTTTCTTTGGATGGAACCCCTATCCCACATAGGCTCAGCATGGTAGGTCTGGGACGCCATGTCCTCCCACACACATCTCCACAGCAGGTGGAGGTGACACCATGTCCTCCCACACACATCTCCACAGCAGGTGGAGGTGACACCATGT